CAACTTAAAAAATATCTACCTAGGGTGCCTGGGTGGCTCAGTGGGTTAAGCCTCTGCCTTCGGCTCAGGTCATGATCTCAGGGTCCTGGGATCAAGGCCCGCATCGGGCTCTCTGCTCAGCGGGGAGCCTGCTTTCTCCTCTCTTTCTCTATGCCTGCCTCTCTGCATACTTGTGATCTCTCTCTCTCTGTTTCAAATAAATAAAAATAAAATCTTTAAAAAAGAAATATCTACCTATATACATACATACGTTTATGTGTGTATGTATATGTGTATGTGTATATGTATGTGTATATGTATACATGTATCTATATCTATCACCCAGATTTCCAAGTTTTCATCACCTGAGCAGTCATGCTTCATCTATCCTGCTCCTGCTCCACGGATTTTTTAGTAAACCCCATACACCATACCATTTCCTCTGTAAATACTTTGTTATTTGTCTCTGAAAGATAAGGACCTTTAAAAAGTTAACATAACCACAATACTGTTACCATACCTAAAAAATTACAGTAGCTCCTCAATATCGTCAAATGTCCAGTCACTATCCAGATCTTCCCAGTTGAGATACATCTAGCTATCATTTTCCAGCAGGTCCCTCCATGTCCGCCACATGCCTCCCCGCTCTTCCCTGAGCCTGCTGTCAAGCGTGTTTCAGCCACAGGCCTTTGTAGTTGCTATTCCCTCTCCCCGACAAATGTCTTCCCACGGATGTGCGCAGCTTAATTTGGTTCTCTGCTCAGTGTCACCTGAGCACAGAAGGCTTCCCTGACCCCCCACCCCACTGAAAAGAAACAAGAGCCCATCACTCTCTATTCTCTACCATGTCAGTAGCTGACATTCCATTATATATCTGCCTGTTATTCATGGAGGAACATAAGCTCCATGAAGGCCAAAGCTTGTTTTGTTCTCCAGTGGGTTCTGGCTCATAGAACTAGTCCTGGCCTAGAGAGAATGAAAGAATATTACTCATTTTTAATATATTCATTTGGGTACTAAACTATCAAGAGTTCTTCACAAAGAGAATTCCCACTAGCCTTGTTAGCTTTATTACAAAACAATGTTTATCAAGTTCAGAATGCTAAACAGTAGTGACAGACACTCACTGAAGATGTGACATAAAATGGAGAAAAACAAGAAAAAGTGAAGGTCTAATACATTCATGGCACAAAAAGATATTTGAGCCCTTTTTAAATGTTTTTGCTTTGATCATCTGTAGGCCATCCTCAAGTTGAAGAAACTTCCCTAGATTTTCTTGAGATTAATTTTTTCTTACTTATATTACTCAACAAATATTTACTGCATGCTTCATATTTGTCAGGCACTGTGCTAGGCACTCAGGTGATGGGATGACTCACACAGACTTAGGGAGGGCAAATTCCAGGCAGGAAGAAGACAAATCCCTATCACAGTTTTTGCCAACAAAAATGGTTGATTCTGGAAAATTTTATGGTATCTACATTTTAATTAAAGACACTGACAATATAATTCATTATCATTGTATACCTGGATAGCATAAAATATGTTAACATTTTTCTAGTATTCTTGGACAATTTTTAAATTTCATAGTAGCAAACCAGGAAATTATTTTGACAACACATTGTATTTTTTCTTAAAACATAACAGCAATAAAATTGCTCTTTAAATCACCACAATCATATCCATATGACAATTCTATAGTAAACAGATGCTTTCTTAAGTCTAAGGAAGCACCCAGTTTTGCTTTCCTACAAAAGCCTAATACTTTTCATTCTCCTTCTAATAGTAAAGATATAAATTCAAGAGGTCAAGGAAAGTGCAAGGCTCCAGAATTTTACAGTGTAATGAGAACACTAATATATCGCTACCACATTGACATACACCAGGATTATTAGATTAATAAGATCAGATCATTTTTTTTTAAGTCTGTTTGACAAGAAGAGATAAGGAAAGCCCGAGTGAATCTGCTGCACCTGTTATCTGGGCCCTTGGCATTCTTAACAAGTTAAACCCCAGGAAGCCAGATTAAAAGATGACAGGGAAAAATGTAAATTATATCATCATCTTCGACGGGCTAATATACATGGGTGCTGAAAATCCAATTGAAAGGGGACTGGCTTATTAAGCTGTGGCATGCTGCAATTTACATATCTCGCCCTCCAGATGTGAGGAGGGTAAATGAGAATGGAGTGTGTTCACATCGGCAGGGGATAAGGAAGAAAAGTACATATGTATGTTGCCTATCAATTTGGCCAACTGAAGAGAAAGTGACACGGTGAAAAGACTGACTTCTCTCTGCCCTGAAATAAACCTGGCTCCTGTGCCATGTTCTGGAACGGCACTGCAGACAACACGACTCACCCTTGCTGGTCGTTCTGTGCATGGGTCTCCTGGCTTTCCAATGGTGAGTGAATGCAGATGCCCAGACGACCGGCAGAAACACCTAAGAAGGGACCCTGCTGATGGGGCACGTGCAACAGGATCTTGGCAGAAAAGGGGGACTAGAGCTAGCAGCAGGAGCTTCCCCAAATTCCCACCATTAGTCTTAGACAAGCCAGCAAGAGGAGAAATCACAATATTTTAGAAAAATACATTCTGTAAATTATATTATAGCTTGGAGTCCAAGCCCAGAAAAATCTTACTGTATCCAAAACTGGCTGCTTAAATTTCTCATAGGTAGCCATTGTTCTCACTCTGTGTTTCTTCCTACATGCATGTAGACTTTGATGACGTTCAAATACTTAGAAGAAACAGTAAGACAACTTTCAACTTAATTATTTTTTTAATTAGGGCTTTGCCAATAGACAGGAGTTTGTCAATAAGCTTTTTTTAATTAGGGGTTTGTTGGTGAAATGGAAAGGTAAGAAGGAATGCAAAAGTGAGGAGTAAGAAAAGCAGCCACAAAATATAGCCAAGTCATAACCCTCAACAGGAAGGTTAGCATTTCATAGTTACACAGTAAATACAAACATGCCTAACATACATTTTGGTTATCTATTTGCTATATAGATAAGCATCAATAAAATCTTTCCACTTCAGCTTCTGATTAGGGAAAGTTGAAAACATACACAAAGAAAACAAAAGAGTGTAACAAGTGCTGTGTCCCTGCCAGCCAGCTTCAACAAATATTCACATTCTGCCATCCTGGCTTCATCTAGATCTCCATCTACTCCCCACTTCCATTGCAATTATTCTATTTTATAGTTTTTAAGGTAGAATTTAGATATATTAGAAAGCATAAATATTAAACATACAATTTTGACAAATGAATTCGTCCATAAAACCCACACACTTGTCACACATATAGAAAATTCCACCTCCTCAGAAACTCCCGTATGTTCATTTCTCAGCCAGACTCCCTACAGGTAGAACAATACTTATCCAACAGAAGACATATTTTTTCCAGAACAGAAAAGAAGGAACTCCAGCTCCTCGAATCCAGCAAGCTTTCTATTTCAAGCTGCACAAAGGTTTCCTACCCAAATGACAGTGGAGGAATTTGACACCCAAACTAAATCCAGATACCAATCTCTTCACAGATGGTATTCAGATCTAGATCCTCAAGAAAAAAACAAGGACTGTGATAGCAGAGAACAACAATAGCACATCAAAAACCTCACTACTTCTGGAACTATTTATCTTTCCATTTATTTCCCTAGGGCCCCAGGCAAAATTATAGGTCCGTGAATACAACCCAAGAAATAGACAGTAACGCTACAAAGTGGCAGAATTATAACAGCAGCATTCTCTTGTAAGAGAATTTCTACCCACTCACTAGAGGGATACACACTTGGCCGACCACATGATATTCTCTATCCCTGCTCTCCAGGAAGCAGGAATAGTAGCAATAGTGGCAGTAATACTGGTAATGGCATTAAAGCGGCTGATACGTATTAGTGATGAAGAAGCAGGGATTCAAAGCTGGTTCTTTCTGTTTCTAACATGCTTTTGCTGTTCTAACCCTAAGGGCACAATACAGACGAGCACACACCATTAACATTATATATAACCTGACATTTTATTCTGCTTGTTTGAGCCTTGTTTTTGTCCTCACTCCTTCAATTATGCCGGTAAAAGCCCTTTCCTCCTCCCCACAAGTCCCCACTTTGGCCCACAGAGAAGAAAACTTAACCCACCGTTTTGAAATCCTGGAAAAGGGCTGGGGAGTCCTCAGTCCCCCTTAGCTGGTCCTTCCTTCCAGGAGGAACTGGAATTTCTACAACTGAGAGGGCTTCAGAATGGACTGGCTTGGGAACAGAGCTGGACTGGTGTGGAGGGGAAATGGCCTGTTTTTGACCTTAGGCTCTTTCTGGCCTTTCGAGGTGTGGACAGGGCTGAGCGGACCAGGCAGGTCTCTGCTCTTGGCTCTAGCTGGTCTGCTTGGGCTTCGGTGGAGCTCTCCGGACGTCAGCCCCTCAGAGCCCAGTTATCTGCCAACACTGGGGAGCAAGAGAAGGCTCTTTCTGGGCCTCAGGTACTGGCCACATTCTTTGCCATTAATAAGAATCCTACCATGATCAATATTTGGATCTTCGGTCTCTTCTAAACTTGTTAGAACCCAGGGAGGAGGGACGCAACTAACTAAGATCCCAAATTTCCAAGAAGCCATATCTCTATCTTTTGCCTCAACTGCCTGCATCTAGAGCACACCTTTTCCTTTCTGGTGACCCTCTGGCTCAGAGTCAAATATAAATATGCTGAGGTAGGTGAGGGGGGTGGGGGAGCACCCAGAAAGATGACCCCTCTTTATACCCTGGCTACTTACAGCTCATGGAAGCCCTTGGGTCTCTTTGACTGTCCTTCCCTCATTCCCAGGGGTGCGCTGCCCCCCTCCTCTAACCACCCCCACCACTAATACCATCGACACCAACACCACCCCCTCAACACCACCAACTGCCACCAACACTATCAGCGACACAACTACCAGCACCACTGACAGCAACACCGCCAGCACCAGCACCACCTCTGCGAACGTTCAGAATTACAAACCGCTAGTGACACGTATTCAACCACTTTCCTACCTTGTTCTCCTCTGGAGAGAAGAGGATTCGGAATATGGATGGCACGCCGGGAGCTACTTTGTGGCCGGAATCTTTGGGGCTGATGACTTTAAAGTAAGGTGAACTTTCCCCAGTAACTTTCACCAACCTTGGAATCTGCAAGAGAAACACACCATGGTGGACACTGTGTCTGTGAAAAAGCAGAAGCCGAAGCACGGGCTTTTGCTGTCCACCAGGAAATCTCCATCGGCTTCTCATTAGCCACGCACGACCTTGATCAAGGTTTAACTTCCGTTTCAGCTGTGAGAGGAGATGACTCACTCAGTGCATTTGAGCTTTAATTTTTACTGAAGTTATTATTCATTTTTATTCGTATTGCAAGCCTTTGTTCATTGCATCATTTAAATGATACAGGTGCCTAGGTGGCTCAGTAGGTTAAGTATCTGCCTTTGGGTCCAGTCATGAACCTATATGGTCCTGGGATGGCCCCCCACATCTCCTTCTCCCTCTGCCATTCCCCCTGCTTGTGCCCTTGCTCTCTCTGTGTCAAGTAAATAACTAAACTAAAATCTAAATAAATAAATAAGACCATGTTTGAAGAGGAACTGCTTGATCAGCTAAAATCCCACCCACACAGCAGAGGTAAGCTGGATTTCCCAACATTTGAGAAGTGCTCCAGGAGAAGAATTCACACTTCCTTCATGCCTGCTGTGGACCACCCCCTGCACATAAGGCACAGCTTAATCCACTCAATATCCTCGGAGCTACCTTATGACCCCTGTTCTACAGACGCGGAACAGGACACTTGTCCTCAGTGTCCTTCAGCAAGCCCCAGCCTCAGTCCACCTTCCATCTGGGGCACAGTCCTCAGTAGACACCACTGTGAGCAAGAACTGAGCAATAGCACGGGGTCCCCAGGCCAGTGTCAGAATGGCTTCAAATAGCTTCTCCTTCTCTTCAAGTCCTCCTCTGCTCTGCTTGCCTTGCCCAGAGTACGTATCTCTGTTTATCTAACACAGTCTAAGCAATAAAAGACATACAAATGCAAGGAGAATGGGGGTGGAGATTCCAGGGACACAAGGAAAGGGAAATGATTTTTCTTTTTTTTTTTTTTTTTTTGAAGACTCAAAGGGGGCAGAAGACAGTGAACTATATAGTTAAAGGTGACGGAGAAGTCTCGGGTGCAAAATGAGGGCAAAAGAACCCACACAACCTCTCAAAACTGAAACCTAGATGGGCAAAGAAAGAAGAAATGCAGAGAGAGAATTCAGACAGATGCTAAGGCTAGAGAGTGGGGGTTAAGGAAGAGACATGCGAATGTGATGGGAGTCCATCTGGCTTTGCTGGTAAGGGGAAGGTGCAATGTCATTTATGATGGACAGAACGACACTGTGGAAGCTTGCTGGGAATACTTCTGGCAAAAGCAGAATCATAGATTAAAAATGAAAAAGGAAAATACCAACAACAATACGTAATAGTAATAGTAATGACAATAATAATGGTTTAGTGCTTCCTATGTGACAGACACTGAGCTGAACACTTTGCGTTCATTACCTCATTTAATATTCCACACAGCTGATTGAAATGGGTATTATTAGTACCACCGTGGCCCAGAGTAGTGAAGCGACTTACCCACGGTCTGCAGCTGGGAGACAGCTCGGCTGGAATCCACCAAATTAGTCTGCCTCTAGAGTCTGGGTGCTAATGATTATATCCTAAGTAGAATCAAGTTGAGCCTTGTAGAGGGTTCATAGCTTACTCCCACCTTGTAATGTGAGATAGAGAAATAATGACCAAACAGGCTCTATCTTTTGCATTCAGTGCCAATGAGGAAGGAAATAAATGGCAAATAAGATAGAAAGCATTTTTCTGTGCCCCTATTTATCCCAGGAGTTCTTTATGATTCCATGAATTAAGAAAGTAGAGAAGCAGGCTTGTTCTTGGGTGAGTTACCCAAGGATAAGCCTGCCTAGGCTAGAGAAATCAAGCTACTTTTGGTAGCTGGGCTTTCCCTGGATGAAGACCTTCCTTTCATGAGGTCACACTGTAGCAGCATCGAACCAAGAGGTACTGGGTTATCCATGAGAACTTAGTGCCCCTTGGCAGACAAAACTTAGAAATGGCCTATACCCTTTACTTGTTCATATTATACCCACTGGCAATCATTTCTTGTTTAGGGCCAAGGAAGAGTGATCAAAATATCCCTTGGGCTAGCTCCTCTCTGTCTTTAACAGCCTTAAAATACTTGAGCAAGAGTCAAAAAGTCATGGAGAAAGGGAAAAAGAGAACTGGAATTGACAAAGGGAACTGGTTGGCAGCCTATATGAAAAGAGAAGAGTCCTGATGTCTATGGAATACATCTGTTCTTGAGGTCTAGGGGCATAATTCTGAGCATCTCAGATTCTTTTTCTTCTCTCTGCCTACCCTTTTAACTTCTGTCCCTTGAGCTTCTCTTGCTAACACTCCTGTAGCCAAGAACTAAATATACCATTTTCTCCGGAGTCTGACTTTGCTGTCACCACATCACCCCATTGATCTCTGAAAGGCATCAGTGATTCCTTTAATGAGCTATTGTACCAAATATAACTAAAAGTTTTCTTGCATAGTCTTCATTTATTTTCCTTCTTTTTCTTACAGCTAGAATTTTTGTCTCCACATTCTTGAACTCCTGAGGTATTCCTACCTGTCTTCACATCTGAAGTTCAGTATCTCTCAGATGCCTTCCTCTCCTTCTGATTACTTTTCACATTTAACTGTGCTTCATGCTGACTTCCCACATTATTCTTTCTTCCATTATTGTTAGATGTCAAGGAACTCTTCAGGCACTTAATACCTTTTCTTGAAGTAAACCATAATTTATCTCTAGCGGGGAAAAAGGCATATGGATGGAGAAGAAACTCTCAGTTGCCACAACAAAAGGCCAAGGTATAGACAGTGCGAGCAGCTGTCCAAAATGATCTGAAGACAAAAATCTGAAGGCTATCTAAGGTAGAAAGGAGGAGAATGAAAAAGGAGAATGGGAGATATATCTGTTTTGAAGTTTGGAGAAAGAAAAAGGAAAAAGGGAGATACATTTGTTTTGAAGTTTTTTAAAAAGTACAATTTATAAAGTATAAATAATTTACCTCAACAACTGCAATTCATATGAGTAGAGTTTACAGGGGCTCTAATGCAGAAAACATAAATATATGTTTTACCCCGTCTTGAATGAAAACCTTAGCTAAACTGGTCACACATAAGAATTTCATGACATTTGGGGCACCTTGGTGTCTCAGTTAGTTAAGCAGCCAACTCTAGGTTTCAGCTCCTGTCATGATCTTGAGGTCATGAGATCCAGCCCCGAGTTGGGCTCCATGCTTAGAGAAGAGTATGCTTAAGGCTCTCTCACTCCCTGCCCGTAACCCCACCACCACTGTTCACTCTCTTTCTCTCTAAAATAAATAAATAAACATTTTTTAAAAATTGCGACATTTGCCTAGCTAGTAATTTACTCAACAAAATGTTACTATACATATTGGGAGTTGACCATTTGGTGGACACTGATCTGGGCCGGAACACACATGAGTAAATCAACATAATCTTGTCTTCATTAAACTTATAGTCAAAGGGCATGTTTTTAATCTACTTTTCTAGGTCTCTCAAATTAAAAAATTCATCTAAGACCCTATAGGATCCCACTTTATTTAATCCCTTATATATCCATGAAAGGTACATCCAGCAAACATACTCACTTTGTCATTATTCCTCAAAATGAGTGGAACTTCATAGACTTCACAGGGAGTATAGTTCTGAAACACAATTTCTGATGGAAAGGGCTGGAATAATGCCTGATCCAGGTCAACTCCTGAGGACTGCATTGAAAGAGTAAATTCATTATACAGTCCCACAGTGGCAGAAATGACAGGGCAATAAATGAAAAGAAACGGAAAATATGAAAATACTACATCCACCTTATATGGATGTTAATACTAAAAACATACAAAACACTCAGAAAGGGGTAACTACTATAGGCAATAATTGTTATAAGTACTGAAGTTATTGTGAACAAATTATTTAATACAAAAGAAAGTAGAAGATTTGGTCCTCATTTAAAAAATACAGGCTAATTAGAACACCAACCCAAAACTTCCATTTACAGCAATGGTGAGTAAGGTCATGATTCCCTATGAAAATAATAATAAAAACTCTATCAACAAATATCTGTGTGAAGGAACTGAAGAGCTTAACAAGACAGTACAATCTAATGTTAAAAGTACGAATTATCTCAAGCTATTAGCTTAGGTAGAATCCAATAGGTTTTGAGCATTGCCATGTTTCCTTGAAATTTTAGAATATTCCATGTTGCTCTGTGAGTACACAGTTGCACCCTGGGGGACATTAGTATAGTCTGCAAAATGAAGATGTAAGCAACCATCTCAATAATTTAGAAAAGCAATAGCAAACATAAAAAAAAATCCAAACAAAATGAAAAAAATGATATAACCAAAATAATAAAAATTCATAAAATGGAAAGTAACTACAGAAGCAACAGAGCCAAAAGTCAAGTCTTTAAAGACTAATAAAATTGGTAAAATATCTGGTGAGTATGATCAAGAAAACAAGACAGAAGTCACAAAGAGCCAATATAAAGAATGAAAATAAGGACATTACAACAGAAACTGAACTAACTGAAAAGATAATAACTGGGTATTATGTCAAGAAATGTGAAAATTTAGATTAAAGTTACAAATCCTAAGAAAATACAATTTATCAACACTAGCACAAGAAGAAATGGAAAATATGAGCAGTTCTTGAACTACGAAATTGAATTTGTAAGTAAAAACTTTTGACAGAGAAAACGCCAGCCCAAATAACTTTACAGGCAAATTCTAGCAAACATTTAAAGAAAAAGCATGAATATCATAGAAACTCTCCCAAAGGAAAGAAACAAAATTAATATATCCCAAATTGATGGTAGCACAACTTTCTTATAACTAAGAAACATAGCAGGAGAAAGGAAAACTATAGGTTAATCTTAGTTATATACAATAGGGTTTTTTTTTTTCTTTTAAGGAACAAAACATTAGTAAACTGAAACCCACAATATATAAAAAGGATAACATATCATGACCAAATTGGGTTTGTCTCAGAAGTTCAAAGTTGTTTTAACATTAGAAATTGATTAAAAAGGGGGCACCTGAGTGGCTCAGTGGGTTAAGCCTCTGCCTTCAGCTCGGGTTATGATCTCAGGGTCCTGATCAGGCCAGCATTGGGCTCTCTGCTCAGCGGGGAGCCTGCTTCACCCTCCCCCTCTGCCTGTCTCCCTGCCTGCTTGTGATCTCTCTCTCTCTGTCAAATAAATAAATAAAATCTTAAAATATATATATATACATATATAAATAAAGAAAAAAAGAAAGATATATATATATACATATATAAATAAAGAAAAAAATACATATATATAAATCTTAAAATAAATAAATAAATATATATATATATATATATATATATATATATAGTTTTGGGCACCACCTGGGTGGCTCGCTTAAGTGTCAAACTCTTGATTTTGGTTCAGGTTATGATCTCAGGGTTGTGATATCAAGCCCCCCAAAAGGCTCTGCCCTGGACATGGAGCCTGCTTATAATTCTTTCTGTCCCTCTGCCCCCTTCTGCCACTGTTTTTATTATAGATATACAATTCATATTTATATGAAAAAAATATATATATGGCGATTAAATACCATGTTTTGGATTTGAATAAACTGACCAATGGTGTAGAAAAGTCCAGAAACAGATCACTGGACCTATGACAGAGGCCTTATAGTGCAGAGGAAACAATGGATTTCAGCATAAATGACAGACTCCAAGATGGACTTCGTATAGGTTTTAACTGGCAGCTTGAGCTCCCTTCCCCACCCCTCCTGCCACAAATAACCAGGGTTAAGATATACACAGTGAGAATGTCCACAATTTCAGATCTCAGGTAAGGCTTGCACTATACAGACCTCTTAAGCAGGTGGCATACTCTGATAGGCAAAACCACCAACTCCTTGTTTGGAATACTAGGAATGGCAATAAGAAATTACCTGTATGCCATTTGGCACCAGGAAACAGTAAGGAAGGCAGGGCCTAATGGGCAACACATAATTTCACATGTTTATAGGAAGGAGTTTTTCACTGAGGCAGGCTAGGAGAGAAGGATTCTGATTCCTAAGGGTCCCCACAAGTCACAACTCTGGGAAAAGGTTAACACAGCTCATCCTTCCTTCCTTCCTCTCAGCCCCCTTCTAAATAAACACATGCACACAATCCTCTTTCATAAAATGCTGTGCTGAGAATCATGAAGGATTCCTACTGGTCTGGGACACCACTAGGACATGCCTCAACAAGAATTTCCTGCAGATCACAAGTCCGGGAAAAATGCCCTTCCTCCCTCCAAAAATGAGTGGAAACAATAATAGTAATATCTTGATAAGTCAAGATCAGTGCAAAAATATTCAAGGAAAACAAAGGAATAAAGAAAATGGCAAGTGAAGAACAGTTAATAGGAAAGTTGCCATGAACCAATGAAAATATTGACTACACTGTTTGACTATAAACCCAAAAGACATAATGGGAAAAAAAATATGAAACCACAAAGCAAATAATTAAGAGGCAGGGAGGACTTAAGCAATCAAAGTGATGAAAAATTCATGTGTTCACTCATAAATACTAATTGAGTTTCCAATATTCTCCAAATGTTAAGCACACAGTAGTGAGCAAAGCCAACAAAGCCCTTGCCCTCATGAAGCTGACATTCTTGGGGAAATGGATAAAAAATAAAGAAATGTATAATATGAGGTCAGGCAGTGATTTGGCTACAGAGAAAACTAACGACAAGGAGAGAGTGTGAATGCAGGGTGTATGCTCTTTTCAATAGGTATCAAGGGAGAGCCTCTCTGAGGAAAATACATCCAAGCAGAGATCTAAGCAAATCCTGCAAAGATCTGAGAGAATAGATTACAGTTAGAATGACTAGCAGGTGCAAAGGCCCTGAGGTGTGGATTATCATTGAGTGTTTGAAGAGCAACAAAAGGGGAGGGGGCATAGCTAGAGAGAATGAGCTAGGGAAGAGTGGAAGAAAAGAGGTCTATGAGGGAAATAGGATTAGACAATGAAGGACCCTATAACTCTGAGGGTAAGAGGAAGCTGTTGGATGGCTTTACACATGGAAGTAACATGTCCTAGTTTACATTTTAAAAAAATCATTCTTTCTTCTTTGTGCAGAATTGATGATGGGGGAATGAAATGGAAACACGGAGACTATTTCAGTAGTCTAGAGAATGGTGGTTTGAACTGGAAGGGTATTGGTGCAGCTGGTGAGAAGCAGTTTGACTAAAGCCATATTTGTGAAAGCAGAAGTTTATAGCACTTGTCATTGGATTTCATATAAGATGAAGGAAAAAAAGAGGCATCAGAGATAATCCCAAGGTAGGTTTCTGGCCTGAGAAAATATATACTAGATGGAGGAGACAAGAGAGATAAGATTGTGTCTTTAGGGAAGGAAGGAAACACAAAAATTAGAGCTTGAATATTTTAAGTCTGAGCCGCCAATCATTCATTGGGCTGAATAACTGACCCAGAGTTCAGAGGATGGGCCACAGCAAGATAAACAGTTGTGAAGGTAAACATTTAAAAAAGTATAATTTAAAGCCTGCTCTTAGAATGGGGTCACCTGAAGAATGAGTTCAAAAGAAAAACAAGTTCAAGGACCAAGTACTGGGGACTTCCAACATTTAGTGATCAGGAACAGGAAAGTGATTCAAAAAATAAAAGAAGATAAAAACAACCAGTGAAGTAGGAAGAAAATAAAAGGAATATGATACTGAGCTACAAGTAAATAAAAAGGGAACTGAGACAAATGCTGTGAGCAATCCAGAAGTGTTGAACTGGTCAAACTCAAGGATGAATGATAAGAGAAACACATATACACAAGATTCAAATTAAAGAACATAGAGGATAACCTGATGGAAATAATTACAATGAAATGGAAATGAACAGAAAATTAAAAATGGTTGGCAAGGGAATACAATATGTAGAAAGGTAGACAAAGAAGGTCCAACATATTCATAATTGACAGTCCTCAAGAAGAATGAAAAATGGCAAGAACAAATACTGGGTCATTCAACAAAAACTTTCTAGAAGTAAACTAAAGATACATGGTAGTATCTCAAGAAAAGTTTAGTCATGTCTTAATAAAATTACTGCATACTAAATTAGAATAAACAGTCTTTGGCCATAAGAGCTAAAAGACTGACATATCTCTAGTGGGATAAATCAAGCTGGCTTCATCACACTTCTGCATACCATTATGCATCATATTTCTGCTTACCATTAAAGCTAGAAGGTAGTGAGGAAAATGCCTGCACAGCTTGTATGGGGAAAATGTGTGACCCAAGAATTTTAAACCTAACAAATCTGAAATTTTATATAAAGGCAATAGGCATACATTGTTAAACAAAAAACCAAGGAAGTATAGTATCCATAGGCTCTTCTTGAAGAGATTGGTGAAAGATGACTGTCGCCCAACTAAGAACAAATAAAACTCCAGAAAATAAAGTAAAAATAACCAAATGAGTTGAGAAAGAAAGAGGAGAAATGATGAGATAAAGTAAAGTGTACTAATTATGTCATCCTTCATAGCAGGGGTCAAAATATGTTAACACACACACAAGCAGTACATACAGGAAAATATGCAGGAAAATAAGGCTGGTCTCAGTTATGCAATGGGAAAGGAGAAAATAGCCCTTGATCAGGATAAGTTAGTATTGGGAGAAGCCATGCTACTGGCCTCAAAGAAGAGAAGAAACCATAACTAAAGCTAGCAAGGCTCAGAGAAAGAGCAAATTTTGTGCAGATCCTACACAGGGAAGGCAATGGTGCTGCAGCAAGTGCAGAAGAGCCTCAGGAACTCACTCATCATGGGGGAAAGATCTCTGAAAATCTCTCAGGATTACCCCGGGGAAGCCTTTGAGAGGAGGCAGATTTCCATCAGTTTGACTAATGGAGGTTCATACCATAATTTGTACATAAAAAGTAAAGCATCTAATTCAAGAAATTAATTTAAAAGTAGGAAATAAGACCTTATTTTACAACCATATACTCCTAAAGCCTGGAATTCATGGTTTACATTAGAATATAAAAACAGGTTAAAATAACTATTCTTTAGAGACTAAACGAATACATTTGCTATTGGAAGTGAGCCAGAACAGATAACAAATGCAGCCTTTAATAAACAATTCCACCTTCTTCCTTTCTAGTGATGACAGCTCAGGGAAGATGGGATTTCTTGCTGTGTTAAGAAGATGACTTAATTGGATTTGGCCACTATAATCCTTGGAACTACTTCTGACTTATAAACAATAGCATCCAGAAGTAACTAAGAAACGTGACTAGTCAAAAGTTATTTGTACTTATTAATTATAATTCTATCCATATTAAATCAACAAATATCAAGATCAAAAGAGGTAGAAAAAGAATATATAACACAAACTCAATAAGGAATTAGCCCAGAAACAATAACCATGACTTAGTTCCTATTGTTCTAGAATGTTCACATTATTCCAGAGCCTGCCTCATAAGCAAGTATGACAGGAGGCAACTACCTTTTGATGCGTTTCCCCCATATCTAAAAGTTCGATGATCTGTGGTCGGTACATCAAACGTGTATCAGCCAGTCTCTGCTCTGTGGTAAGGGACATTTCCTTCAGGAATTCCGAGGGTGTCAGCTAGATTAAAGAATAAAAAAATAAAAAACAGCTGAAGATTCATAAATGGTTATACCAAAAAAGTGTTTTCATAAGTGCCAGTAATGAATAATTTGTGTTTGCAGCTTTCAGGATAATTGTGGAATGCCACTAAGTTCCCTTATGAAATATTTAAATTAACTAAATAATATAAGAAAAGTACCTGTGCACTTTTGAGCTCTTTGCACACTAATTTGAAATGACATGCGATTTTGAAGAAATCACACAAAAGAAACTGGGGGGTGGGGAGTCAAGAAATTGCACTGGAACATATCCAAAGAGTTTAACATTTACGCTCAGAAGAAGCATCGGAGCAAAGAACCCTACTTCCAAAAATCACTTCTAGTCTTCAGACCTGAGGAATATGAAATGCTTCTACTTCTCAGTTGAAGTTACAACAAGCAAGCAAAGTTTGGGTATTTAGCTATCCCACTACAGCAGGCTAAAGAGGAATCTTGTGAAATAGAAAGAATCTGGGGCACCTGGGTGGCTCAGTGGGTTAAAACCCCTGCCTTCGGCTTGGGTCATGATCCCAGGGTTCTAGGATCGAGCCCCCCATTGGGCTCTCTGCTCGGCGGGGATCCTGCTTCCCCCCCTCTCTCTGCCTGCCTCTCTGCCTACTTGTGATCTCTCTCTCTATCAAATAAATAAATAAAGTCTTGAAAGAAAGAAAGAAAGAAAGAAAGAAAGAAAGAAAGAAAGAAAGAAAGAAAGAAAGAAAAAGAAAGAAAGAAAAAATGAATCTAGGGAGTGTGACTACACAGCTTAGGAATGAGTTTGAACTTTTTAGAAATCCCAGGGGCACGTTTAGTCCTTGTTTTAAAAGAGCCCTAAGCCCATGATCAGATCCAGCAGCCACTCCTACTCACACCAAAACAGGAACACAAATGCTTTAACACTTTCTCATGTTATGAGAAAAAAAAAGGTAACCTATCATTTAAATAAGGGCATTTAAATAACCCAACAAGACTTATTTACCCAGGACCAGACACAATTATTTACTTATTGTTGTTCTGGAATGTTCCAGGGCTTGCTTTATATGCAAGTGGATGATGATCATTCACAGCAACGTAATGCTTAAGTATGCACCAAGACTTTTAAAACAGCCAGAGGTATATAATTTAGCTGATTCGTTTCACCTTGGGTTAAAATCAATGCTCTTCAAAATCCCTACAAAATTAATTTCTGTGATTGAATCCATATAAATGAAAGCATATTTCTAATGCTGCTTCTTTTTTTTTTTAGGTTCTTTTTGATTGGAACCCAGATTTGAATACTGAAATGTTAAGAGGTATCAGCTGTGTCACAGTTTAAATAAAAATAATAAAGTCTTAAAAGCAAAAAGTCAGGAGTTTAAATATGAAATGATGACCACCACAAAAGAGAGTGATGATAGGTTTTATTTTTTTTCCTCGGAACATAACTTGAGTCTGGTTTTTAAAATTTGATGAATACTATCTTGAACCCTGTAAATTGTTACTGATGTTTTCTATAGCATGTAGTTTATAATTCCATTCTCATCACATTACTATAACCTGTTAAAAATAGAAGTATATTTTATTTTGAAGGACAGAGAAAAAGTGTATTTTTCCATGATACCATATAGTCATCATTTTGATACTCTCTGTTCTACAAATATGCAAACAGAAATAACTCTTGCCAGTCAATAGGTATTATACTGTTGAGGTCAAACCCTACGAAATTCTGATACCTCATTGTTTTTGAACTACACACATGGCAGTCTCATAGGGTTCGACCTAACATTTAGAAAACCATCATAATTTCATTGCGTAGTCTTACTTCAACTGATTAGCTTAAGCAATTCAAGTCTCTACTTTGAGGCATGTAATTTCAAAAACTTCTTGGGCTTTTAAGAGGAGCCTCTGCCCCGCAGCAAGCTGCCATGTTACCTACATTGATATTGTCAATCAGTAATTCCCTGAGTTCTGAGAATGCCAAGTAGCAGCTGTCACCCTCCTGAGGAGACTGCATTAAGTCTTTCACACTTGAAAGTCTCCGGTACATTACCATTGGATTTGCTTCTTCTTTTGTAACCACCCTTGGACTCAAGGGTGGCAGAACCTTGCTTTGGAATCCTTTCAGCATTCTGACTAACCCCATCTGAACAGCCCCCATGGACTCCTCGAGTCTTCTACTGGTCATTTTTAGTTATTTCCTTCATTCACCTAGAAGTGAAAAAAAGAGTTTTAGAACAAATACAGTTAATTCCTGAATACAGGTCACAATTTTTTTTTAAGATTTTTCAAATACAAAATGTTTAGAAAAGACTAATCTTCAAAATACATCAAATGCTTGTAACAAATGCCTTAACTAGAGCAGTCTATTCCATGTAATTAGTCCAGGTTTAACCTTAGCCCAAAATCTAGGAATCCTTTTAGACAAACCAAGTGATTCTGGACTGAGCTCAAGGAAGACCCAGATATACATGTAGTTCCTACATTTGGTACTTTTATCCTCCCAGATAAACAAACACTGCCCAATAAATACACTTCATAGTTTGCTACTTTATACTTATTTGACAATTCTCTCTCATGACACCCTCCAGACAGAAAAAAACGTAAGGCTTCAGGCCTTCAAGCTGAGCAGAGACTAAAAAAGCAGTATAAGGAAAAGGAAATTTCTGGAGAATTTTTGACGTTTATGGTCATAAATAAGTCATTAAACAGACACTCTATATCTCAAAATCAAAGAGATAGGACATCTCCCCCTATATATCCTTCTTTAGGCCTTTTAGTAGAACAGTTGCAACCATGGAGGCCCATTTGTGACAAGTGGGGATTTCCGTTTTCAGTAATAGCTGGCTAGTTTATCCAACTCTGTGCCCAAAAAACACAAACAAACAAAAACTAAAAATGCTTGGATACAATGTCAAGTAAGAAACCATAAAAGTCATTAAAAAGCTCACAAGACAATAAGTCATTACCAGACCAAAACAGTGAGGAAAGAGGTGCATAAAGAAAAATAGATCTGAATGAAAATGCAGTAAGGTACACTGAAGTAAAGCAGTAAAACAACCCAGGAAATGAATATAAAATGTTTTAAAGGGTAAAAAAGATCAGAGAACAAATGACTGAAATAGCAGACAGTCAAAAAGAAGATCCAGTACATTATAACCAGAACCCATGAAGAAGAAAAATAACGTTCTAGAGTGGAACTAATATTTAAAACTATCATCTAATAAAAAGTTTCCCCCCAAAAAAGAAAACATAATGAAAAGGGACTGGTAGGTGTCTATGAAGACAGATGCAGATGGTCAACTCTAAGTTATATTTTAGCACAACTATTAGACTTTTAGAGAAATTTTTAAACTTCTCATAGCTTCCAGGCAAAAAAGGTAAAATAACTTAGAGGGGCAAGAGAATTAGATGTCACTGGACCTTGAAAAAGGAACCTAAGAAATGGGAAAGTGAAGGACAATATTTTCCAAAACTTTAAAAAGTATGAGCCAAGAATTTTATATACAGCCAAGCTCTCCCTCAATTACCAAAGCTAAAGAAAGGGAGTTTTGAACATGTAAAAGCTCAGGGAAAATTGTGAACAAGTTCCCTTCCTGAGGAATGTAATAGAGGATGAGCTTCAGCCAACCAATAGATGACTGGGGAACCTCAACAAAAGGACTTACAATGAACATTTCATGTATTTAATTATAGAGTTGATTTTAATAATGAAGTTAAAGACATGAGGAGAAAATAGAATTTAAGCATAAGCATATTTTCTGACAAACTTGAGAGAATGCAATTTTAAAAGAAGAGTAAAAAATAGAAAAGTAAAACAAGATCATTAACACTAACTATTAGGTAGGAGTCAAACTATTTACCCAGGTAGAATAAAGGAGCTTATGGGAATTATGGTAGAAAGCCCATAAGATGGCAGTCAATGACACCTGTTTCCAAGCACGCATGTATTTGCTAATACCCTGCCCTTGAGTGTGGGCTGTCCTTGGATATTCTAACAAATACAATATAGCACAAGTGATGAATGTCACTTCTGAGATTACTTTTAAAGAGACTTGGATCCATCTTGGGTACTGTCTGGCACTCTCTCAGATCATTAACTGCCACACTGTGAGGACACTCAGAAAGCTTAGAGAGAGGCCCATGTGGTGAGGGACCATGCCTGCTAACATGACATGAGTGATCTTGGAAGTGGGTCTTCTGAGGCCTGCCAACAACCCTGTGAATGAGCCTGAAGGCAGACTTGCCAGCCCCATTTGAGCCTTTAGATGACTAGAGGCCCAGCCAACAGCTTGCCTGCAGATGCATAACAGACACGGAGGAGGAAGCACCCAACTAATAAGCCACACCTAGATTCCTGACCCATAGAAACTGCGAGAAAACTAATATTCACCGTTTTAAGCTACTAATTTTAGGGTAACTTATTATACAGCAATAAATTACTAATGTAGCCATTTTAAAGGGTTTATATACCAAAAACTACTAAACATAAACCTTCCTAGATACCAAAAGAAATTAGAAAAAGCAAAGTAGCCATACTAAACAGAGAAAGACAATGAGTCAACTGTGATGCATCTAATTGATACAACACAAGGTAATATGGGAAGTGATGTCAGCAGCACACTGGAATGGGTAAGAGCCAATTTCAATCTCCCACAAAAAGACCAACTAGAAACTACCCACAGACAAGATGCCTCTGTGAAAATCCCAGAACCCAGGGGTTGAGCCTGAAATACCCCCTTGGGTCACAGAGACATGGAAGAACCTCAAAAATAGGATGCTTAGTAAAAGAAGCCAGTCACAAAAGACCACATGTTGTATGAGTCCATGCACATGAAGCGTCCAGAATGGGGAACTCTCTAGAGAGAAGGAATAAATTAGTGGTTGCTTAGGGCTGGAAGAAACGAAGGGATGGGGCAGGGGTTGATGGCTAAAAGGTATGGGTTATCTTACTAAGATGACAAGGTTCTAAAGTGGACTGTGGTGATGATTGCACATATTTGTAAATACACTAAAAACTGCTGAGTTGTAGGTACACCTTAGGGATGAATTGTATGGTATGAGAGTTTTATCTCAATAAGGTTATTAAAAATACATTTTTTTTGTTTCACTGGAGAATTCTGTGAAGCATTTCTTTCTTTCTTTCTTTTTTATTATATTATGTTAGTCACCATATAATACATCATTGATGTAGTGTTCCATGATTCAGTTTGTGTATAACATGTTAAAACACGGGGCGCCTGGGTGGCTCAGTGGGTTAAAGCCTCTGACTTCGGCTCAGGTCATGATCCCAGGGTCCTGGGATCGAGCCCCGCATCGGGCTCTCTGCTCAGTAGGAAGCCTGCTTCCCCCTCTCTCTCTGCCTGCCTCTCTGCCTACTTATGATCTCTGTCTGTCAAATAAATAAAAAAAATTTTTTTTTAAAAATGTTAAAACATTTTAAAAATCAACTCTTTTTTTTTTTTTAAGGATTTGTTTATTTGAGAGAGAGGGAGCATGCACAAGCAGAAGGGGCAGGGAGAGAGAAAAAATCCCAAGCAGACTCCACACGGAGTGCAGAGCCCAATGCGGGGCTTGATCTCACAGCCCTGAGACTGACCTGGGCTGAAACCAAGAGTTAGTAGCTCAACGGACTGAGCCACCCAGGAGCCCCTAAAAAAAAATCAATCCTTAAAAACTGAAAACCAACTGAAAGAAATGAACCTTGCTATCAAGCTGGTGTCATAACCACAAAGAGAAAACAATTATTCCAACTGACCTTAAAACACAGTATTTTGACTGTCTTCATTAAATCGTAGTCTTACTGTTAGTCATAATATTAATGACAATATACATTTTTTTTGCTCTTAGGCCCGACATGGGGCTTGAACTCACAAGCCCAAGATGGAGAGTTTTCATATTCTACTGACTAAGCCAGCGAGGTGCTCCAGTAATAATATTTTCAAAACAAGTAGTTAAAGGAATATTGTTAGGAACCAAACAATTCAGCTTAAGAAAAAAATAAAATCAAAGAAGTTCTTATATTAAGAAACCCTATAATCTTACACTTAAATTGAAAACAAGTATGAGCTCATGATTATTTTCTCCTTTAAAATAACCTGTCTACTGAAAGGGCCCAGAAACAATGAAGGCTCAGTAAGCAATAATAGTCAAGGACATATCATGGCCTCCAAATGCCATTTCCCACTAAAACGAACCACAGATCCTTGGAGAAATTGGTAATTTGAGGTCTGAGGCATGAAATGTATAAGATGAACTTGGAATGTTCTATTTTACTATAAAACAAGGACATTATCAAAGGCCACTGGAGCTCTAAAAGAGTTCCCATTCACCGAAAATAGGACAATTTGAATATTTTTTTAAAGTCTGCAATGGATAAGTCTCTCAAAAATTTAAGTTCAAATGATACTGAAAAAATCACTGGTCACCTTTGGAAGTTGCGACGGCACCAAACTGATTATTTTGGAAAAAATAAAAGGAAAGAATCAGCCATTTATCATGCATTTTTTTGGTACAAATTGCATTGCAAGTTAACCAAATCATTAAGGAAGGAAAACAGTCCTTCATAGAAAAATTCCAGCTAATAAACTCAGAAGAAGCAACAGAAAAATAATGACCATTATGCAGGTCCTAATGAAACAAAAGATCATTTGATGCTAAAACCATTAGGAAAGATGTTGTTGAAGAGCTCTATAATGACTCAATCGGGTTAACACCACTGGAGCCCTCTAAACCAATCCTAACATTAAATGCGGAAACCAGACATACCATGTTGCCTCCACATGATGCTCTACAGAGCACCAGCCATGTGGAACTATTAACAAAAACCTAATTACACCTCTAGACCTACCAGCCAGCTTACAGGAGACACAGAGAATAGAGGAGCAAGCATATTCTGGAGGAAGACAATTAAGCCAAATCAAGAATATGACAAATGTTAAAGGAAAATGGCCTACTTTATTCAAGGAATAAAAAAGCATCAGAGAGTTGTGGGCAGGGGACAGTTATAAACTAAAAGAGCTCTAAACCGACCAAATGCAAGGGTGCGCCTCGTTTAGATCAGGATTCAAATAAATGAATAGTAGATGATATAAAATAATTATTGGTTCTTTGGTAGGATAATGGTACTGTGGGTATGAATTTTCAAAAGAATGTTCTTATCTGTTAGAGATATGTAGCATCTACAGG